GGGAAACCTTTGCCTAATGGCATAAGTACTTGGAGAGTAGATGATTCCACTTTTAAACTTACGGAAAATCAAGTGAAATTAATCAAGCTATTTAGGTTTTTTTGGTTAGAAAATTCAACTCCCGATATTCAACATTCAACATTATAGACTACCTATAAAGTAGTAATGAGGGGTTATCTTATTAAAATAAAAAATAAAAAACAAGAGACAAAGATCTTGCCGACTTAAATATCCAATATCTTAATACATCCAAAATGAATGAAATTCAACCATATAGACAACTTATGCAAAAATGATCAAATTTACAAAATAAATTAACATAAGAACAGAGGAAAAGATAAAAAAAAAACTATTAATAAATTAAGATTAAACACTTATTACCAGAGGAATAGGGCTAACAAAAATCTAAATAAAAAAATAAACACAATGCGAAAGATAGGGTAAATAAACTGTTAGATGGAAAAACTATATATTCTTCCCCAGAAAAAAATCGGTCAGATATTTAATGAGTTTTATAGCAACTTGTATAACCTTGGAATATATCCATACAATGAAAAAAATAATAATTATCTATCTGACACTATTATCCCAAAAATCTCCACCTCTGATCTCAATATACTTAATGCTAAGTTCGCATCTAATGAAGTAGAAAGAGAGATTGACAGACTGGAATTATTCAAGACTCCTGGTCCAGATGGATACAGTAACTATTTTTATAAAATCATGAAAAGAGAAATAGCGAGCCCTCTAACTGATCTTTACAATAAAATGGCCAACTTAGTTAAAACTCCAAAAGATTTATTACAAGCTAACATTTTACCAATATTAAAACCTAATAAAAATGAAAGTGATGTTAGTAATTACAGACCAATTTCATTAATAAATATAGACATGAAAATATATGCCTCAATCTTAGCAACTAGACTAAATTTAGTTATTGATAAAATTATCCATCTGGATCAGGTTGGTTTTACTCCGGGAAGATCCCTCTTCCTCTGAGAGTTGTACAAGAAGAATTTTGGAAATAATAGATAGAGCTGAACGATTGGAGATTCCACTGCTGACACTGTCACTAGATACGGAGAAAGCATTTGACAGGGTCAGCTGGAGGTTCCTAGATGCCGTATTGGTTTCTTTTGGCTTTGTGGGGTGGATTCATGGAGCAATTATGGCCCTTTACTCTGAACCAACAGCAAGAACAGTTGGGGTAAATATTATAGCTGGCTGGTTTAATCCTCAAAATGGCACGAGACAATGTTGTCCTTTATCACCCCTTCTTTATATCTTAATGCTAGAACCATTAGCGATTAATATTAGAACAAACCAAAAGATCAAAGGTTTTCCAACTAATAAATCAGACGCCAAGATATCGTTGCGGCTCGGTGCGGCTGTCGGCCCCCGTCGCGCTGGCAAAGCTGAATGCAGGGCAGATGGAACTGCGGCCTATCGTGATGCTCTGGCGGGAGAAACGGCCGATCTCCCGCGCTTAGTCCGGTGGACCCTCCCACACGCCCGCTGAGGGCCCCGTTCCCCCCTCCCCCCCGTGGGCCGGGGGGGTTATCCCGGACCCCACCGTGGAGGCAGTGATCCTTCCTGGCCACCGACGCGGTGAAAAGATCACTCAGGGACCGCGAGGCAAAACACAAGATGGCCGCCGCGCCTGGTGTCAGCCCAGAGGCAGCAACTGCAGAACAACGGCTAGGTGCTGTCGAACTGGAAACAACCCGGAACACTTCTCAGGGACAGCGGACAGCGGCTAGCGGTATACCCACTCCGCCCATCAGACAATTCCGAAGGGTCTACATCTAGCAAGTAAGCACGGCTAATACTGGTACCACCTGAGACAGCATCACTCATTATAGACGACGGATCTGCGGGGACTATACTGGGACACTGACCCTGCTTGAACATGGAGGAATAACGGGCACTGGACACAGGCCTCATTTTATATATGAGACTGATATCGGCAGACACATAAGCCCGAATACACCTCTGGCCAACAAGTACCTCAGCGTGGAACAAAAGGAACTTGTCTACAGCCAGGTCGCCAGCACTGCTGCAGGAGTAATTAAGCGACTGTTCATATATAATTAGAATCCTAGCAGAGCATTGTATATCCTTTATATTAACAGGTCATTCTCAGTCCCAGTATTACTTTGAGTTCATTTTGAGTTTAATAAGGTTGATTTCGTTTATGCAGATTCACATGGCAACGATTTAGAAATCACTTAACAATGACGGTGCACACATGCACGCTTTAGCCGGCTACCCCAGCGACTTGCTGCCCCCTGGTGGTCAAATTCATGCAATCAGCTAGAGAAATTATATTTTGCATAAGCCTGTAACTAAATAAGCACACAACCATTGCTCAACCAAGCATGCATAGAATAGCTATAACAGCTTTAATCTTTTTTTGCGTTAATCGACTTGAAAAACAAGAAAAGTGGTATTACTAAACAAGGAAATGTATCTACCTAATGATAACGATGTACTACCCCATCCTGTGAACAAAATGTACATTTCCCTTTCCTCTCTTCTGTACCCCATCTCATATGTCGCAATAAAATAAAGAATTAAAAAAAAAAAAAAAAATACCATTGAAGCAGACAATAGCAAAGGACGAGGCAACACACCCTGACCTACAATTAACCACGAAATGGGAGACCAGATGGCCCGCACGTAGGCCAAGTAGGTCTACTCTCGACAGGGATGACTCCACACTAGAGATGCGGGACCAACAGACCAATTGACAGAGAGGGACTCACTACGAGCTACCCCAACTCCTGGCAAGTGGTGGACTAATGGTAAGCAGAAATAGAAAGGGGAAAAACTATCTAAATATTCCCACATCCCCGGTCCCTCTGCGCCTACACAAGTTAGATAGGTTACCACACACCTCACACAGCAAGGTTACCTAATCATGTTTACCATATGGTCATGCAAATGAGTTAACTACATCTTCTAACTTGTTTACTGCCTTCATAACCGATGTTACTACACAATATATCCGTTCGCTCTAACCAGATGGAGACCTGCGTGTCTCATACGTACCTTACTCTGAGCTTTGTATGTACAACATAAACCTTAATAAAAATAGATTTAAAAAAAAATACCATTGAAATTAATGTTTTAAATCTTTTAAAATATACTAACATAAAGTTAAAAGAATGACATCCAACAGAATCCTCTTGTTCAGGTAGTATTAATATAATAAACGCCTATATTATGCCAAAATGGTCATATTTGTTTAGACTGTTACCCCTTCATATGCCTGATATTTGGTTAACCATGATCCAATCCCATTTTCAAACATTTATATGGTAAAGCAAAATACCTAGAATAAGCACCAAAGTTCTTACGAGAAAATATCGACAAGGGGGTTTGAATTATCCCTGTTACAGATTTCCTACACTCCAGCTGAGTAAATCCGTGCAGCGTCTCCCGATATCCAAATAAAGAAGAAGGTGTTGTGAATTATAGCTCCCAATCCCCCGAACATGGACCAAGACTTCATGAAGGGGTAAAACTATCTGGTTTATTGATGGCCACAGCTTTGCCTTTTATGCAGGTCCTCCAGCAAGGGTTACTCCCACAGGGACCTTGTGGGGGACAGGAACACAGAATACAGTAACCAATCATTTTACAATAAAATATAACACACTCCCACATAAACAGTGAAATCCCTCCTCTCTATCCTGGAGATAATTGGGTTAAGTGGCCAGAGCAAACTTAATTATCTCCAGGTAGAGAAAATATTTCTATTTTACAAAAGTACATTAAAATATATAGCTTTGCTTTTCCCGAACAGAACCTCCACATTCGACATATCCCCAGATAGCTTGGGTCTGATGCGCTCAATATAGCCGAACAGATCCCACAAACACAGTCAAATCGCCATGGAGCTAAAGATTCTGTTCACCAACTGTTCGCTTGAAATATGTCCAAAATTAACTCGATGGCTTGAGCTACCTGGGGTTGGTCTCATTCGTGTGTTAAATGTACCGAACGGCACAGCGTTTGTGTAAATAGAAACAAACGAGGTAGAAGTGAGATAGTCCCAGCGGTGTTCGTGTGAAATTGTGGCCGAAAATAGTTCCACCCGGTCGACGACCAAACACCGCTGGGCGTTCGTCAGTTTAAAATGGCCACCGCCACATGTTCGTTCAAATAAACGGCGGCCACCCAGCCATTCATCAAATAGCTGTGGTTAATCGCAGCTTCTGGGTGATTAATAAGCTGCACACTCCCAGTGCGGGTGGTCTGTAGTTTGTTCCTTTTTTTTACAAAAATAACGAAATAGGGCTAACTACACGAACAGCAGACAAAATATAAAAGTCTTGGCATTTATAAAACAGGGGTTTTGTTACAATCCCAATATAAGAACCTGTTATTTTTCTAATATGATAGGGCACGTTTATAAGCTACAAGTTGAAACTAACAAAAATAAAATGTGGTACATGATAGAATGTGACGCTGTTGGGAAAGATAGACTTGAACAATACCTATGGCTTAATAGTGGCAAAAAAGTAACAGATCATTTAAATAGTAAGTCACCAATATTGGCACAAACTATTCAAGCTTGGGACACATTTAAAAAAAGATTGAAAATTTCCCACAAAATAATCAAATCATGCCATTTGGCTGCTTTGGAAGAAAATATGCAGGACATCTCTTTAAATAATTGGTCTAACATAGAAACATAGAATGTGACGGCAGATAATAACCATTCGGCCCATCTAGTCTGCCCAATTTTCTAAATACTTTCATTAGTCCCTAGCCTATCTTATAGTTAGGATAGCCTTATGCCTATCCCACGCATGCTTAAACTCCTTTACTGTGTTAACCTCTACCACTTCAGCTGGAAGGCTATTCCATGCATCCATTACCCTCTCGTTAAAGTAATACTTCCTGATATTATTTTTAATAGAATAAAACAAGCGTTAGGCACGCACGTCAATTCTGCAGTGGTTGAGGATGGATGAGAAGCATGTTGAACTCTTTGCATTGGCTGGCAATCGAACCCAGGCCTCCCGCGTGGCAGGTGAGAAATCTACCACTGAACCACCAATGGAGTATTAATGATGTTTTGCAAACAGACCAACTATTACTCTTTGCTGAAATTAAGGCTAAATTACATTTACCAAATAGAGAAATTTTTTCGTATCTGAGAATGAAATTTAAAAAAAAAATAAAACTCTATTAAGAGATACATCCAAAGTGGTAACTTTAATTCAATTCATTTTCAGCTACACTAAAGTAAAAAAAATAACGTCCAAAGCAACTAGTATAATATTGTTATCAGATCAAAACCCCCCACACATTGTTGATAAATGGAAAAAAGATTTAGAAATGGAAATAAATGAAACCGAATGGTGTTGTACTCTTAAAGATATACGAAAATATATCCATTGTTTGAACTTAATAGAATATCAATACAAGATAATGTATAAATGTTATCTGATGCCATATAAGATCTCTAAGATGTACGCAGACCCAAATCCTCATTGTTGGCGGTGCGGAAGTTTGGATGGATCCTTCTTATACATATGGTTGTACTGTAAACTGGTAACACCATTATGGTCACAGGCCTTCGAATTATTTAACTCTCTAATTTAAACCTAAAAAGAGAACCCGATGTGGCCCTACTACATTTAAAATGGGCTTTACCTTCTATGTCGTTAAAATGTCTTGCTATACATTGTTTTTTAGCTACTAAAATCATAATAGAAAATGAAAATCAAATCTTCCTTTCCAAAAGAAACATTTAATAACCCAATTTACATATCAACTCCGTATGGAAAGAGATTTACATGGTTCTTCATTATGCTCTTTAAACAAGAAAGAATATTACGATAAATGGTTGAATATACTAGTAGTAACCAACTAAATATTATCTAGCATCGAACTTTGATATTAGTCGTGAAAATAGGATATTCTTGAACAGACCATGACCTAATTTTATAAATTTATATTGTCATGTTTGTATATTTGTTGTGTGTTGTTGGGAAAAAAATAACAGTATAATTATTTAATGTGATATTATGTTTTAATAATTTTCCAATTGTTTGTGACAATGCCGTTATGTATTGTAAAATAACAATGATAAAAAATAATTATAAAAATAAAAATAAATTTTAAAAAACCCATTAGGTTTAGGAAAGAAAGAGGAATTCTGTTTATCGATGGGGGGTAAGAGGCTCGGTGCCAAATAGGATTTAAAATTCCTAGCTTTGTTGTAAATAACCTTAGGTTTATCAGGTACATCTTGTTTTAAAATATTGTCTTGCAATAAAACTGGCCAACATTTGTTAAGTGCTTTTTCTATCAGTATTCTATCAGTATTTAAGGGCAGGCAGAAATCAATTGTGTTATTTCTATTAGATCTATTTTCCCTTGTCTCTGTTTTTTTCCTACGGTGTTGTACAAGATCCAGAGTATGTCAGTAAATCTATTTTCTAAAAGCCCTGTTTGGGATTCAAAATCCTCATCCCTAATACAATTGCGACTAATTCACATAAACTGGCCTTTGGGTATATTTGTTAGCCATTGTCGATGGTGACAGCTTCTAATATCTGTTTTTATCGGCAGATTTAAAAAAATTCTAATAACATTTTAGAATCCCCCCCTCCCCTTCACCAAAGGTAAGATGAAGGGGGAATACTGAAGGGGGAGTACTGATTCAAAATGCTCAGGGGTGGGGGACAGGGGGGAGGACAGTAGGTCCCCCCCCTCATTGTTATGTTGGGTCCCCAACCCCTGCGCAGGGGTGGGGGCCGGATGGAGGACAATAGGTCCCCCCCGTCATACTTATTTAGGGCCCCCACCCACTGTTTAGATGTGTGTTATTTAGGGCCCCCACCTGCCACTCAGGGGTGGGGGACTGGGGGGAGGACAATAGGTACCCCCCCCTCCCCCCTTTTATTAAATCGCCAAACACCGAACTCGAACCTGAACTGTTATTGAAATGTCTGGGTTCGGGTCAAAAAATCATAATGTTCGGGTTCGCTCAACTCTAATCTCTGCCAATGTTTACATTAGTCACATTCCTTAGCTCAGGCTTGAGTGACTAGAGTACAGAGAGAAAAAATTGCGTGTGTCTTTTTGTATTCTGTTACAAAATGGAGTCACTTCTGTTCTGATGGTGACTTACAGTATACACTTTTTATTTCGGTCTTAACACTGCTGTGCAATTTTGGGCACCTGTTCTAAAGAAGTATATTATGGCACTAGAAAAAGTGCAGAGGCGGGTTACAAAATTAATAAAAGGAATGGAACATATCAGCTATGAAGAAAGGCTACCAAATTTAAACCTATTTAGTTTAGAAAAAGGTCGCCTGAGAGGGGATATGATAACATTATACAAATATATTCGGGGCCAATACAAACCATTGTGTGGAAATCTATTCACAAACCGGACTTTACATAGGACACGAGGCCATGCGTTTAGACTGGATGAAAGAAGATTTCGTCTAAGGCAAAGGAAAGGTTTTTTTACTGTAAGAACAATCCGGATGTGGAATTCTCTGCCTGAAGAAGTGGTTTTATCAGAGTCCATACAGATGTTCAAACAGCTACTAGATGCATACTTGCAAAACAGAATATTCAAGGATATAATCTTTCAATGTAGGGTAATAACTGCTTGATCCAAGGATAAATCTGACTGCCATTCTGGGGTCAAGAAGGAATTTTTTTCCTAGCTTGTTGCAAAATTGTGCTTCAAACTGTTTTTTTTGGCCTTCTTTTGGATCAACAGCAAAAAACAAATGTGAGGAAGGCTGAACTTGATGGACGCAAGTCTCTTTTCAGCTATGTAACTATGTAACTATGTAACACAAAATGGCTACCAGTATAAATATACTGACAGGACATAGTTAAAAAGGTATGTCAACATGAAACTTAATGGATATTAAGACATTGGGTAATTTGGGTCTCAATGTTGATCTTGACATTATGGCTTTTATGTAAATTGTTTTTTGTTTTAAATGGTTTTTATTGTTTTTGCAGTAAAATTGCATGCATAGTGTGAGAAGCGAGAATCAATATAATGTTGCCTGCACAGAGGCTCAGTGTTGTATAAAATCATAGTTGCATATGTGCCTGCGCAGAGGCTGATTACAGTTGTTCCACACAATATCAGTCATCTGTATGTTCCATGCTTGTAAAATCTAAACCGCTGACATGCGATGCACATTGTCTAGTGATGTTATTGTTATCCTCATGCAGTGTAAAATACAGTACAGGTATCGGGCAGGTTAGCGTAAGAAGCACTTGATCGCCTTCGCTGAAGCTTGCGCGATCCCTCATACGAGTTGGGCGCATTATGTGAAGCGTGCAGATATGTGTGTTGCTGGTTGACAGGCAAAATGTCAGGAAAAACTAAAGCGCGGTTCCATGCGTCTGGATAATTGCACCTATGCAGCTATTTCCTCATTCGCTTAAGTTGTGCTTAGTGAGCATGATGTGTTCAAAGTATGCATCGTGTGCGCGGTATCAAATGGTCAGAGCAGTACCTTAAATCAAATAATCAGCAGACAGTGGCTATGCGTCAATAATATCTGGCAACAATACATAAAGCTTTAGTTGTGTATTTTAGTAAGCATGTAATGGCCTGTATAGGGTGCCGTGCGCGGGGGAATGTATTTAACTATTCGAATTAGCCCGCGGATGGCGTATCCCATAGAAGCCACAATAAGTGTCATATGAGTAACGGCAATGCAGGTGATAAAACCTAACTATTTTGCGCCCATGTAGCTCAGGTATTTAATCGAAGCAGGTCTTCACTATGGGCAAGCTTTATACAGTGTATAGTGTAATAAACATTATGCAACATCAGTGAACAAACACCTCAGGGGGTAATGCAAAGCAAGAAACCATATAAACAAGGTGTATCTTATTAGGGGAGTCTCTCCACTGGAGGTGGCGTTGTGGTGCCTGGTGGTAAAGAATGTCCAGCGTGAGGTTAGTGGCCTCTCGCTGGCTTATGCCTAGAGTGCATATAATTGCCAAGCTGGTCGCTCAATGCAGGGTCCCCTCAGTTCCCCTGGTGTGACTAATCCCCTCTGTTCCCCTCCAGGCCTGCTCCGGCCGGTCATTCGAGGGTTCCACAATGCTGTGGGCACTCAGGAACGTCAGCAGCCCGGCAGGCTCCCCCCCCTGAAAAGTCCTCGGGCCCCCCGTCCCCTGCACCTCCACAACTCCTGCAGTTCCCCGTATAGCTCCAGCTCCGTTAGGCCGCACCCCTCACCGGCCTCTTGCATGTCGCCGGCGCTTGTCTCCCTGGCCACCGGTCCGCCGGGGGTCCAACTTACCCCGACGCCATAGGGCTCACAGAGTCGGGGGCATGCCTCCCCGGACCACCACCAAATCCAGGGGTTAGGGCCGGCTCTGCGTCGACCGATCTGCCGCCCGGTGGAGTCCGTCTGTGGGATCCGCCACTCCTAAGGGTCCAGGCGTCCCCGCGTGGCTCCCAGTCGCGAGCGTGTTCCACAGCCATCTTGTCTCCACGCGAGAAACGGCTCCACGGCCATCTTGTCTCCACGCGAGAAAGGGCTCCGCCATGTGTGGGTTTTCTGCCTCCAGTCTCCAGAGAATTGACTCATGGGCCGGGATCACCCCCGCCGGGCTGAGGGGGGGAGCGGGGCCGGGTCTGGTCCCCGCCTCTCTCTCGTCTGGGCTTGCGGCTTCTGCGTGTAGGCCTCATGGGTTCATCGTGCTCCGGCAGGGCGGGTTGCTCGGTGTCGGTTTGGCAGATTGTGCTCCTGTGCCTCTCCCCGCTTGGTGCTTATGTCTGCCCCGGCTTCAGGTGAGCTTTTAGTGCTATATTTTAATTTATTTAAGCGATTCGGAGCCGGAGCTGGCAGGAATGGCTGCCGCTCAGCTCGGCGGCCCGGCCCCGCCCCCCCTGTAAATAGTTTTTTACCATTATGTATTTTTACATTTCTAATTTTAAACATGGTGTTTTTTAAATTATGATGTATTTCATACATTTTTATGATGATATTAATCATTATTTTTCTCCTTTACTTTTTTATTTTTTGGGGGGGGTTATATTTGGTGTGCAATAATTTCAAT